AGGACGGAAAAACTTTTGAGCCCAGTATTATTGCGGGAGGAGACAGTGCCAGCTATAAATGGATTTGCCATGTTACGTCTGCCCTCCCTTTTACGGTAGCCATGTTTCTGGTCTAACGTTTCACCAAAAACTTCATCTCTGGTAAACAGAATACATTTTTAAAGCGACCTCGAGTCTGTTATTTAGTGACGTCTCAAAAATAGTCTGTTTTTTTATTTTACTCTTTTTGGCATTGTTCTATTCTATGGGAGTAATTTCTTCAAAAGCGAATATCTCCAATAAAAATGGTTGTGCTAAAGTAAACGCCACGAATGTTTGGGAGTGATTCATCGGTCGCTACCATGTGAACTAATCTGTTCAAGGTCACATAAAACTTAATTCCAGTGCCGTGGTGTTTCAAGTCATATAATAATCAATATATTATCTGTTGCAATTTGTTGTTTTAACTGTCAAAGTCTTGTCAAAACATATATTTGGTTATAAATATAAAATGGAATGCCCCATTGGTCGCAATGCAAGCTCACCAATGGACTGACGCACAAAAACGAATCAATCAAAGAAACGTGATATAGTATCGTCTTTGTCAGTCACTCTGGCATTTTAGAATAAGTAGGAGGAGCGCAGGCAGATGATTAGACCGGGCCTTTAAAAACCTACGTCTGCGGTAAAAATTTACGTTTTTAATGTAAAAATGCTAGCGCGCGTGTCGGTAGCACTCGATTCTAACTTCATCAAGCGATGAATCACTCCCAAACATTCGTGGCGTTTACTATACTATCGAGGAATGATGTACCTTGAAGATAAAGTAGTTTCTAAATTCCTTACTTTGATAAACAACTTGTGTACTTTAATTTTTAATTTAAGAGGAACAATCAATTTGGCTACACATTTCTTAAAAAATAATCAAAATCGGTTCACTAGAACAAAATCTATTGAACTTCACTTTTGGGTCGGAATGAACCCGTACGTGGAAGAGAATCGCTTAGGGATCTTATTAAGTCGGAGTGAGAAAAATGCGACGGTGTGTTGTTGCGGCGTTTCCACATTTCTCAGAGATGCAAGTACACCTTTTTCCTGTCTAGTGAAGTAAAATCATTATTGAAAGGCGCTTAAAAAAGACTTAAAAATAAGTCTTTTTTTTTCGGAAGGATAACTACATAAAATCATTAGATATGTTTCTGGGCATCTGAAATCGAGTTATAAGAATGTTATTAGGGTGGTTTTTATTATGCGCGATGGTTCAAAAAATGGCTCAAAAACTACTTTAGAGATTGAAATTTTTTTTTTGAGGTTCGGATCTTTGACAAGGTGTTTAAAAGAGAGAAACTCGACAGGTCTGTTTCTTTTCCATCCAAGAAGTATGAAACACGTGTCCATTTACTTTTAGTGCATAGCAAACCAATTCGGTTCAACTTATTTTTTACCAAAAGTGGTAAACGTGGTAAACTTATATTTTAGCGTTTTACTTTAAAGTTATTCGTTTTTCGTGCCAGTATAGTGTATTAATAATAAATCAAAACTAACGGTGTTGTTTGCGTTGAGATTGATACAGAGCTAAAATTGAATTTACCCCAGACATACGGATTAACCTATATATTAATTTATTAAGCATCCATTACATGCCAGAGTGCAGGATTTACAACGTGATTAAAACAGGGATAGGGTAATTGGCAGCAATGACAAGCAATGCACATTTTAATAGAGTTTGGATAATTTAATTATACTACTGCACAATTTTATTGTTTGTAACATGCTTGATTATTTAGTAATATTTAAAATTAATTACATTTAAATTTAAAGCTAACTTAATATTTTACTCTATTTTATTTATATGGGGTTTCGAAAATATATTTTAGTAATATTTAATTTTGAATGATATATTTATAATATTAATATATAAAATTATTGATTTTTAAAATATGATTCGCAAAAGTAGGGAGAGGGAAATCAGGCGACGAACAGTGGTGATAGTTGTTAGATAATAGCTTCTAGACTACCATTCGAGACGCATTGATTTATTTTGTTTCCTGAGTTTTGTGACAAAGAATGTTAGTAAAGGTAAAGTAAATATTTTCTCATTATTTAACTAATGTTAACTAAAGCATATATTTTATTTTTCTGTTCTAATATTCTGTATTAAAGTTTTTTCCTTATTTATTTCATCTGAGAATTATCTTAATTATCATCTTAAATCATTATGAATATAACATGTGTATGCATTTAATGGAATCTATGCCACGCCCTTTCTAAATTGAAGTTCAATAAAACACAAAGTCTACTTAATCTGAATGAGTTGCATAGAGGCCACTAGCTTTTTAATTTTAACAGCCGGGTGGTCGGGGTTCAAAGATATTAATAAAAGGGCGCCACGAGATTATACTCTATGAACTCGGCAATAAAGATGTAACTATTAAGAGGACTTCAACACTAACCTCGAGCTGTTGAGTGCAACTACCATGAACTTCAAATATTACTATAATTATTTGAACTTGAGTGACTCTAACTTAACTATGAGACTAAACTGTAAATAATACTACTAAAAATATTTAAGCAATTTATTAAAATATTAAAAAGTTAAATATATATATAAAAAAAATTAACGAAATGTAAAATGTAATATGTTAAGAAGTTTAAATCGAAAGGTTGGAAGAGAAAATAGAATTTTAAATTAAATGAAATAACTAAACATACGAGGTCAAACCCCCTTATCTAACTTAATACTAAATACAATCAGGGTGGTTTATACCCATAAATCAAGTCTAAAATTATACTAATATCTAAACGATCTTACTCTACAGTCTTGAAATTACTTGAAACTCCCTCCGGGTGAGCTACGGTGTATAGCTATGGGGTGGCTACAGCAGGGTACAGCAGCTCGGTGTACTGTCACTGGAGCCCACGGATGTTAGCAGACGTACGGATGCCGGCCAGGTGTAGGACTTCAAAAGGTGAACATAAAAAAAAATCTAAATAAAATTGGTTGTCTTAGAAAAGTGCCTGAACAAGGACTAGCACAACGTGTAGGAGTTAATAAAGGTAATAAAGAAGGACTAATCAAATCTGAACTTTACCTCAACGAGAGTTTATGATGTCCAACGGGTACCTCTACACGGGCAACAGGATGGAATTCTGGACTGTTCTGTGCTGTACGGTCTGGATCGGTCTTCTTGCTCTACAATTACGAACAACCAAATAAGACTTTAGAAAGATAACACTCAACTAATCTTTCTACACCACGTGGACGGACAAAAGTGATGATCAAAGATATAGAGAGATGGACAAAAAGCCTACTGCCGCTGGTGTGCCTGGTCCAGTGACAATATTGATTATCTATAGCTGTATATCGCGGTATATATCGGGTTGCATAATTGTAAAATTTAAATAAAATAATATTTAACAATAAAATTATAGTAAACATGATGCAAAAATAATAGTTATTTGCGATAATTTATGAGCTAGCACACAGAGGTCGTTGCGAGGAAATTTGACTGTTACATCTATTTATGCTGTAAATAATTTCAGTTTAAAAGTAATCTAAATACAATAATGTCTGTCCAGTCGTGTCGGTGTTTGTGGTTCGAGGTGAGAACAAGGGCCTTGTTGAATGTACTAATACTTTTCGACCGTGACTGGGCGAATATCTTAACTCGCAAATAAAACGCTAAATTTGTAAATAGCCCTACTTATTTTATTAAATGAAATGAAAGGAGTGCCGTACTCTGCCTGGAATTCACATGTAAAAGAGCACGGCAGAGAAAACCATGATCACTATTCCAGAGACTCTAACTATGCTGTCCTTAACTTTAATAAAAGAGAAATAATAATAATATAGAAGCTGTCCTCATACCAAGGTTTCAATGTATAAACCTGAAATTGAATCAATTACATTAACGTCCCTCTGCGAGTATTTGTGTTTCAATTCGGAAGAAAGGTAAAAGGTTCGTCCCTCCTCTACTTTCCTTAGCCAAATAAGAATTTAAGACACGTCCTCCCAAATGTCATTTCGAAACAATAAAATCCCCGATGTTCCGCTCTGGAAAATGTTTGTTATGCCGAACCGGGTTTTTCCTTTTTAAACAGTGCGGAGTATGCTTCGGTGTCGTACCAGTTTCCTTTGGAAAATCCCGTTCGTTTAATAACAGACTCGAATAAGAACTGAATGAGAATATTATCTTTAAAATTTCGAAGTTTTAGGCAACGCTAAAGTATAATTTATTCTATGACAATATTCGTAATGGAACTAAGTACGTACAGTAATAATGCATACATAAATTATTTTTCTTTTAATATACCTTTTTAAAATGTTAGGTTGTAGCATTAGAATTTTTTTTGTAAAAATTTGTGCTAAGAACTAATACTATGCGACAGAGCTGTTCGCCGCTGCCGGTGAGCAATAAATTCGTGAGATGGAAATTTCCAACGATGACTACTGGAGAGAGGTGGTGAGGAAGAAGAAACCATAGAGCACCTGCTATGTTACTGTCCGCACGGTAATACCAACGCTTTAAAACTTTAGAGCACAGTTTTTTAGAGGGACTAGAAGAAGCTGCAGAAGCCAACATCAGCGACATCGGGATCTTTGCAAATAACTGGAAGTGCTTTAACGCAAAGAAAGAATGAGAAGAAGGTTTGGTACAATAGTACAGGGGTATCGCAATGGAGAAACAGAAAATGCACGTAAGTACGTTACAGTACTTGTCTATGGCAAGAACTTAACGGTGTCGCAATTTTTTGTTTGGAGCTTGTCATGTCAAGGAAGATTACCAAAGTCGTCCTGATGATGGGGTATAACCCCAAAACCGGTAGATATGGATGTGTGGTCTTCTTGACAGTGGCGTGCACATAATGTAAGCAAAAAGGTGTTGTTGACCCAGACAAAATATTTGAAGAAATTTTTTTTTTCGGGTTTTTAGGCCGTCATCGGGTAGAATTGCTTCCTAACGTTTCGCTAGCACGAGTGGCTAGCATCCTCAGAGGTGTGTCTGCTCCGATTGCTCACACTAGACTGATGCCTCCGCGTCGGCGGAGGGGGGCGTGGCTTGTTCCGGTGGTGGTTCTTCCGGAACTGGTCTACTTCTCTGTACTGCTACCTTGGTCCTAGATATAGCTGGATGCCAAATTCTGTTTAGGTAGAGAGTTTCTTCCTTCCTGTTGAAATTATTTGGATGTTTGTGAATTTCAACAGCTTCCCTGACCAGACGAGGATGATATCCAGATGTTGTGGCAATGACTTGGGTGTCTTCGAACTGGATTTTGTGGTCACCATCTCTTAGGGCATGTTCTGCTACGGCCGACTTTTGCCGTCTGTTTGCCCTAACCTGCAGCTTCTCTTGTGTTCCGTAAGTCTCGTTCCTACTGAGCGTTTGGTAGTTCCAATATATACGCTACCGCAGGAACAAGGTATACGGTAGATCCCTGCAGAGGATAATGGTACCCTTTTATCTTTGGCTGGTCTCCAGCAGTCCTTTATTTTCCGGGTAGGTTTGTATATTGTTTTGATGTTGTGTTTCCTGAGAACTTTTCCAATCCTATAGACATATGGAAGGAAGGCCTTATTAACGGTGTTATTCTGTTCATTGACGTCAAGTCTCCTCTGCCTAGGTGCTAGCGTCGCCTTTATTTCTTTCTCATTATACCCATTAGCAAGAAAGGCTTTATTTAAGTGACTTAGTTCCTCTTGTATGTGATCATTAGCACAAATGCGTCTTGCTCTATTTGCTAATGTTCCGATAATCCCCTGTTTTTGGCTTGGATGGTGATTTGACAGGTTGTGCAAGTACCGGTCTGTATGAGTGGGTTTTCGATACACCGTGTGATCCAAATGGTCTCCATTTCTCTTGACAAGCACATCGAGAAAGGCCAGTTGGTTGTTTTCTTCGGTTTCCATAGTAAATTTTATGCTCGGGCTCTGTGTATTAAGGTGATGAAGGAAGTCATCTAGGCTGCCTCGTCCATGTTTCCAAACAACAAATGTATCGTCCAGATAACGAAATCATATTGCGGGCTTCAGAACTGATGACTCTAGCGCTTTTTCTTCAAATCTTTCCATAAAGAAATCAGCAATTATTGGGCTGATTGGGCTGGCCATTGCGACACCCTCTGTTTGTTAGTAATAATTGCCGTTCCATAAGAAATAGCTACCAGTCAGGCACACTCGGAAAAGCTCCGCGATGTCAGGTGGAAATGATTCCTTAATTAGATCCATTGGCTCGTCTAGGGGTACTCTCGTGAATACGGATACCACATCGAAGCTTACCATGATGTCAGATGGTTCCAGTTTTAGATATTTCAACTTTTGAACGAAATGTGTTGAGTCCTTCACATAAGAGTTTGTGTTGCCGACTTTTGGTTGTAGAATCGTAGTCAAGTATTTAGCTAAGTTGTAAGTAGGCGATCCTGGAGCACTCACTATCGGTCTAAGTGGGATACTAGCTTTATGGATTTTTGGTAGTCCATAAAGGCGAGGTGGTTGAGCTTCGGAATTAATCAATTTTGATTTTAGATTTTCCGGGAGTGAGGACGCCTTGATGAGTTTGTTGGTGTTTCTTATAATTAAGGCAGTAGGATCCTTCTTAAGTAACTTCTAAGTCTGAAGCTTCAGTAGATCCTCGACTTTAGACTTATAATCCTAAAAAAATCCTAAATAATCAGTTCCCATATAAAATTCACCATAAAGGCGCGCCATATGATTATGTTACGTTTTTCGTCGGTTCCGTGTGGACAGAAAGTCACAATTTATTTAAACACTATTTATTTAACACTAATTAACAAAAACAATAACGATAAAAGACTTATAGAACTATTTACAAACGATTTATAACTAAGAATTTATTTTGAGTTTTAGCGCGTCAACTGCACTGGTATATTTGCTGCCCTCTCTAGGCCACAGCCGCCGGCTTTTATACCTACAGCAAAAGAAATCTAGAATAGTCCATAGATCGTTAGGTGCATAGAGAAGGTTTTCGAATGTTCTCGTATGTACTAGTCCATTCCAGTGGGACTCGATTCTTCTCGAACGAATGAATCATTACGGTGTCTATTCTTTAATGCGATGTTAAGGTCATCTGAGGGCGGAACATATAGTTAGGTTAAGTCGAGTCCACACGGGTCCGCAACAATTATTTAATTAATTACTTATGCTATTTTATTATTACACCAATTTTATGCCTACCCTGATCTGATTAGCACTGCACGCCACTGGTTCTACAAACACAAACAGAAAATTCGCACACAAGGAGGTTTGGTTTGAAGAAATGCATACACATAAAATGAGTACTTCGTTCTTTCTTAAAAAAATAATCATTTTAGATTTATGTAATAAAATGCTTTTAAAAACTGCTGTTTTTTCTAAAGCACAATAATTAGGAACCGCCACTAACGTGTCACCTGTAAATTTATGATTACGTCCAAACAGTCTATTCGCAGGGGACAACGACCGTGTTTGTTGTCTCCCTGTCTTTGGGGATCAAGTGACCAAGGGAATTGCATGGCTGACGGGAGGGCGTCTGCCTAATTGGACAAACTAAACTGTGATACGTGTTTACATGCCGATAATTAACATCTTGTTAATGATGTTCGGGTTTCGGTTTATCCTTGCTCCCTCTCAAGAAAATTGGCAACTTTTAATTAAATACTCGGATAGCAATGTATAATTAAAAAAATACCAAATAGATGTTTAATGTAAAAAGTACATAATATAATTTGAAATATATCTAAATTAGTTATTTTGCTCGAGAGTTATATATTTTATAACAGACGTTGTTTTGGTATATTTGTATTATATTAAAATTTTACTTTATATTTCTACAAAAGGAGAGAAGCACTAAAATTTCAATATTCTAAAGATAGTAAATATATTCTTTTTTCAAACTTCACAAAAGTGTTAATTTTTGCGACGTGATTGACAATATAAAAAAGTCGTTTTAACCCCTAGGCATAACGGTAGTACTTTTACGCCTAAGCATAAAAGTAAGAAAATATATTATTAAACTGAGATAAAGTGTCAAATTCAACGAGCTTAACCATAGTTTCTCGATATATAATTACATACAAGGTATGATTTTTAAATCTTGGAATGTTCTATTCGGAGTAAACATTATTTTTTTTTTGGCTCGCCTGTATGTCGGACGCTAACACTTGTCCATCAAACGTACAGCCTCGCCAAAAAAGTGTCATTTTTATCCCTAATAAAACAATATACTATTATTTAATATCGTCGGTGAAACGTGATAAACTGCTAACTCCATTATTCCTAATTTTACAGGAGAGCAAAAAAACGGTACAAAAAAATATGGACACATGTAGGAAGTATTTTGATGCGTTAATATGATAAAGAGATAAGAATTTTATTTGCCGGGGAACAATAAAACTCAATATTTCGTGTTACGTCATTTTTTTCAGACACAATAGGGACATAGCAGATATTCGTCTTGCAGAAACAAGAAATAAAAATATATTTCTGGAGATAGCAACTTTTATTGTTTGAAATTTTGAAAATGGAATTGAATATTACCAAAACAGATTTAGAAATAATCAATTAAATTTAAAAAATATGATATTCATAACCATATATTTATAATATCGTCGGTCTAGAAGCAAAACATAGAAGTCCAAAAACGAACAAATTTTTAATGAAAATTTTAAAATTTTTAGCATTTTTAAAGAAAAAAAAACCAATTTTTTTTAAATTTTAAATTTAAAAAAAAATTCGCCCAAAAAACCTCATAATCGTGTTTCTTGGGTCGAAATATACTACCCTAAACTTATTTAAGACTAACCCTGTATATAATAGGAAAAAATTGAACAAGACGTAAGGCGAAAAATACGCAGAAAAAACACACGGGCCCCTCCTTACATTGCCACCTGGGTCCCTTTGGCCTAGTGCGACCCTGGATCGACGTACTGTACTAAAAAAACATACGACTAAGAATCTGCGTGTTGCATATGCCAATGATTTTGGGAGAAACTTCATTCTCATTCATGACAATGCACGGCCTCATACAGCCAGAGTGGTAAGTGAGTTTATCAAAGCTCATCAATTAAACATCTTACCCTGGCCGGCACAATCTCCTGACCTCAACCCCATCGAGCACGTATGGGACGCGGTCCAAAGAAGAATTTTGAGAATGGGTATGCCTCGTGAAACTCGTAGGGATCTGGTTCGGGCCGTGAATGCAGCGTGGCAGGCTGTACATCAAGAAGAGATCGACAACCTGATCAGGAGCATGGAGAGACGATGTAGGGCTGTAATGAACAGTAGAGGAGGCCATACCCTTTATTAAGTAAAAATTGTTTTATCTTTTTTTTTTAATTCACAGTTTAGAATAAAAAAAAATATGTATATTTTTTTGAGTTCAATAAAAATCAAGGTAAATTTGAAAAATTCGGTAAATATCGCATTTTTATTTCCAATACTTTAATTTTATTATATCAGAAATGCAAATAATAAAATTACTGATGATGGCTGGATAAAATTGTAATATCCCTAGACTTTTCCGGTGTGTGTAGTACTATAATCTTTTATCTTTAGTTTCCTACTACATTTGTGTAAAAATACCTAGCCAGTTTTACGTAAAAAGTTAAATGCCGAACACTTATTTTGCTACTTTTTCGGAATAGTGAAATCGACTCTTAAGCAACTAGCCTGTCAAATCATAAGCATTGCTAGTTGCACACTTGAGTGAAACCACCCTTAACCCGACCCGCAAACACTGCCGCACGACACGCGGACTTCTCGCGTCGCGCATCTTCGCCACAGTTCGGGGCTCGCGTAGCACAGCATCCCTCCGGACCAAAGGCCGTCACTCAGTCAGTCCAAGCCAGTCGGTCTTCCGTTGCACAACCGGAAGGAGTTGCTCCGCATCATCACCTTACTGTGGTTACGTTCCTTATCTGGAAAAAAAATCGGTCAAAGTATATCGTTAAAACTGTTCTCGTAGAGGCTATGGAAATTTTTATTGTTATCGGCTTGTGTTTGATGTGCTATCAGGCCTTGGATTTTGTGATTCAGTGCGCGAATAATTCTCCTTCGATAGAGGGGAGACAGGATCAGGAGGAATTGGAGCACGTTGCGGGGGATTCGGAAAAATGCCAAGTGATTTACACGATCGCAGGGAGGGTAGAGGAGATTGCCTCCCGCGATAATAACTCTTCTCCGTAATAGCCCCCCCAGTCAGTTTGAATCGAATCACTTACAAAGTTGTTTATAGTATGCCCGAGAAGATTTTAAAATAGCGAACTCGTATTGTTTCTTGGAAACTTTGATTAAACGTTGGTGGATTCAAATATAATTTTCATCAAAAAAGTGACATTTATTTATCACAGTAATCGTTTTAAATATCACTGACTCACTAATATTATCACAATAATGAAATTAATGTGCTGTGTTAATGGTATTTTTAAGTAAACGTTGTATATAGTGGAAGAATTTGAAAACGACCGATTTATATAGGATGAGTTAAATCAATGCACATATTTTTAGGGACGGTATATTTCGATCTCAGGAACACGCCTATGAGTTTTTTTTGAAAAATATTTTTTTTAATTATTTAATAGATTAAATTGAGAGGTACGAAAATACAGAAAAATTCTAATGGTTTTCAAAATTTAAAGAAAAAAATTATATTTTTTAAATTTCAAAGTAAAAAACTCGGATATTTTGGACTTAACTATGAAAAAACGGTAAAGAGAAAATATGTGTCTTTTATTGAGATCTTCCTGTCTTTTAGAAATAGGTGCACTTATTTAAGGCACCCTGTATAATAAAATCAACCCCAAAGCTTCGGTTATATTAATTAATTTTTATAATTCATACTTCCAATTTTTTAACTTTGCCTTGCAAGTGAGTTTGGTTTCTTATTACTAGTGTTAGGTATACTAATATCTTTC